TGTTCTCGACCAACGAAGACGAGGGCTCTTTCATCCTTCAGTCCATGTATTCGTTCCGTTATTTCCACGCAAAACAACCCTTTAATTACACGAGAAAACAGGCGGCCGCGGAGTTGGCGAACATCGCGACCAAAGTGTCGCTCGCCTTCGAAGCGGACGGCGCCGAAGTCGCGCGCCTTTACTTCGCGGGTCTTTCGGACGAACGGAACTCCTTTCACGAGTTGCGCCGAACGATGGGAATAGCGGTCGGCGACTACTATATCACGTGTCCGACTCTGGAGTTCGCGAAAGAGGTGTTCAGAAGCGGCGGAATGAAAGCCAAAGTCTTTGAGTACGTCTTCAACAGCAAACTTCGCGACAACTTTCTGTGCGCGCAATGGATGGGCGTTTGTCACGGAAACGATTTGATTCCGATGTTTGGACTTCCGCTGACTTCCGGTTCCGGGAATTACTCGAATCGCGAAAAAGAGATTTCGCGACAAATGATCGACTTTTTGACGCATTTCGCGAAAACAGGGTTTTAATAGCCTTTCCTTCGCTTCTTTCACTCACTCTTTGTCTCTCTTTAGAGCACTTCCGCCGCAATCGGGCGCTCATTGGCCGCACTTTTACGCCATCGATGACCACATAATAGCGCCCTTCTATGAGGTGACGTCACAACCGAAGCCAGTGTCCAATTTCGGCGTCGGATTCAAAATCAACGAATGCGAGTATTTGTGGCGAAAATACGTCTTCTTTTGAGGGGAACTGGAGTTTGAAGACACGATTCATTGACTCTTGTTATCTGTTTATAAATAAATTGCCAAAAAATAGATTAAATTTGTTTGAAATAGTGCTTAAAATAGTATACATTTAACGCTTAGTCACGAAAATGGATTTGTTTTAGACTTCGAGTGTTTGCGTAATAAATATTCGTTTTTCAATGACTTTTAGTTGACTTTTGTGTCAAAAAAGTGTGAAAAATGTTTGTTTGGCAACAAGTGTTGATTCGCTTAAACCTTCGCCAAACAAAAACTGGAAATACAGTCGTATTTCAGATGTCCTTCGCTTCCATTTAGACGTAAATTTCGCTCATTTTCTACACAAAAGTCACTCCCAATGCGCGCTCTCCTCCTCTGCGGCGCTCTTCTGGCCGTCGGCTGTCTTTCGGCCGAAGAAGAAGTCGTCGTTCGTATCAAAAGCGGAGAAATCCGCGGAAAACAAGCCGAAGCCGACGGACAGCCTCTCACCGTCTTTCTCGGCATTCCTTACGCCGAACCGCCGATCGGAGAGTTGCGGTTCCGGCGCCCGCGGCCCGTCGGCCCCTGGACGCAGCCCCGGGAGGCCAAGGCGTTCAGCAGCGCGTGTCACCAGAATGGCCGCATGTTTGAAATCGAGGACTACTTGGAGAACAAGAGTTTCTCCGAAGACTGTCTTTATCTCAACGTTTGGTCGCCAAAAGGAAGCGAAGACTCGCCGAAAGCGGTAATGGTTTGGATCCACGGCGGCGGCCTTTTGGTGGGCAGTGCGAGCGAACACTACTATAGGGGCGACATTTTGGCGACGAAAGGCGACGTCGTTGTCGTCTCCATGAACTACAGGTCAGGAAACGGAAGGAAACGCTTTGAACGCCTTTTAATCCTTCTCTCCGAAGACTAAACGCTTTGGGATTTCTGTATTCGGGCGAAGAGTCGGCGCCGGGAAACGTCGGGCTCTGGGATCAGGCGCTGGCCTTGGAGTGGATCAACGACAACATCCGCTACTTCGGC